CTGCAATCTCCCTTGGCACAAGTGTAAACTGGGGCTGGGCTCACCTAACTGGGCTAGAGTCCAGCACCATCTGGTGCTCTGGAGGACCAGGGTAGATGTAGGATGGACTAGGCTGGGTCTCTGCCCCTACTGAGCCATGTGTGAGCAGTGTCTGGGTATGGATGAGCCTTAACTGGGATGAAATATCCAATAGTAAGAACCAGAATGGATTGAAGGCCAGCAAGGAAAGGCCACTGTTAATTCTAGGATAGGAGGTGGACTAAGTTGGACTGGCCCATGGGCCCACTGGTATGTGTAAGATCTGGCATAGGGAGAGATTCTGATGGAGGAACTTGGAAAACTCGTCTGTCGGGACACAGTCCCAGTAAGTGACTGCAAGAACCACACTAGGGAGCAACCCAGACAAGGCCAGAGAAAGCTACTCACCAGCATACATTTGGTATAGGTCAGTGGCAGACTAGGCTGAATCAGTTCATATCACCCATAGGCAAATTCGAGTACCAGAACAGAGTGTGGGTTGGGCCAGGTTTGGTCGCAACACATACCAGTGCACATTACGGAAAGCCAAGGTGAGGTGAGCCATACCAGATGTGGCTGCAGCATCAAAGCAGCACATGTGAAAACCAGGGAGGGAGGGGGCAAAGCCAGCGGGGGAATGTGGGCTCCCCTCCTGGATAGCCACTCCCACTGGAGAGCTTCAGTTGGGATGGGGGCAGACCAGACGAGGCAGGGCTACAACACCTGTGGGCCTCATGTAAGCTAGATCAGGGAAAAGCCAGGCTGGGCTGTTTCCTGGTGCAAGCATAAATCAGAGTGGGTGAGGGTTGGTTGGGCTTTGCTGTAGCATCAGCTGGTAGAGGATGGCTCTGGGGGCTAAATCTGTCAAGTTAAACTCCAGAACCACCTGGAAAGGGCATAATCCAGGAATAGGAGTGGCCTAGGAGGGAAATAGTGGGCACCTCCCTCTTGGGTTGCACTCCCACTGGAGAGCATGAAATCCAGGATAGGGGCAAGGGTGGCTAGACAGAAAGGCACCCGCCAGTATGTGTGTGGGCTGGATAGTCTGGCTGGTTGGGTTGAACTAGGCTTCAATGCCCAATGACATGTATGAGAGCTAAATGGGATGTGGGACAGACTGAACAAGTCTGCAGTGCATAGTGGCAACCCTGGGAATCAGGGTAGGGGGCAGGCTTGCGGGGGAGTCACCCCAACTAGGCTACAGCTCCCACTGGCTTGCGTGAGGGCCGAGTATGAAGTGGGTAGGATCAGGCTAGACTGCTCGCGTGGAAGACGGGGCTGGAAACAGAACTGACTCAGCAATTGCAACTACCAGCATGTGCATAAGCTGATTGGGGAGACAGATTGTGCCGGATCCTGTACTGGCAAGCACACACAATAATCAGGTCTGGGATCACCTCAGACAAAGATTCTTTTTTTTTTTTTTCAAGACGAAGTTTCTTTGGAGATCCCTCCAACTGAACTGCTGATCTCAGAACCCCAACCAAGAAGAGACTATGTCAGCCAGTGGATTCTGAAGAGATTTCATAGTGCTTGGAATGGCGAGATTGGCAGGAATTTAGAACTGTTGAACTATAAAAACTGCATGAGCAGGTCCCTTAGAGCATACCCCACATCAGGTACCTGGGATGGGTGGGAGGCTGGGTGGGGCTTCTCCCTTTGTTTCTTCCCTGACCCCAGATACAGAAAAAAAAAAAAAAAAGGTGTTAGTGTGGAAACAATGGTCTTACCCACTTTCCTGTAACCCTTGACTCTTTGTGCCCTAATCAACTATGTAAGATTATATATTTAAAAAAGTGGGTAAAGGTGCTTGCTTCAGCAGCAGCCTATAGACTAAAATGTGGGCCAAGGTCTTGAACAGACTTTGCTTCGGAGATGACCAATAGACCTACTTCGTCGGGGAGAGCAATCAAAACGCGTGGAGACACAGCCTCATACCCAGAGAAAGGTAACTACTGAATCCAGCCACAGGGGTGGGCACTGGACCTGGCAGCCGAGGTGCCTGCCTTCCACGTTGGCATGCTTACACTGGAGTCCTGGCTCTTGCTTGGCCCCAGCTTCTTGCTGATGGGCACCCTAGGAGACAGGAAGTGATGGGAGACTTGGATGGAGCTCTGGGTGTTTGGTTTCGCTTCCTCCTGGCCCAGCATCAGTTGCTATGGGTCCATCTGGGGAGTCAACCACCAATGGGAGTGCTCCTATCTGTTTTCCTTTCACAGAAAAATAAATACATAAAATAAATATAGCTTAGAAGACCTCAACAGCACGAAATTGACAAGGACTCATGACAGGGTGCTGAGATCGGAGCCCTTGTGCACCAGCAGCAGTGGAGGGGTCGGGGATATGCCAGAATGTAGCTGCCTTGGAAATCCTCTCATGGCCCCTCAAAATGTAAACCGTGACACATGAGAAGGGACTCAGCAGTTCTTTTGTGGACACACGGATGTCCACAAAGGGTGGGGAGCAGGGCCTCACAGGAATACCTGTATCATGCTGATGACCATGCAGCACTGCCCAGTAGCCACAGGGTTAACCAGCATGAGATCTGCTGACAGACAGGTGTGAAGGCCAACGGTGACAGTCAGACAAATGATGGTGGTTGGATGGGGAGGTAGCTATAGATGTGTGCGAGATAGGTAGATGATCCAAGCAGATGCTGGATGCTGGATTCGGTTCTGGATTGCTCACAGGTAGATGAGACATACGAACACACAGGTGACAGGCAGATGAGAGCCACAGGTGAGGGATGACGTAGATTTAGATGCTAGAGGATACGTGATGATGCAGACGCGACACAGGTAGCTGTAGGTGGTTGGGGAGATGACAGGTTTGTAGACGTAAGGAAGTTCTGACAGCACCACAACCCGGAGTGTCTGGTCATCACCCTGCTGAGATGGCCCAGTCTGAGACAGGTCCTGTGTGGCAGTGCGTTCATGGGGGAATCAGAGGAGAGTGCTGCGGCGGTTGCAGGGGCTCAGGGGAGAGGGAAGTGGGGACCTTTGTGAGCTGGGGAAGGTGGCCGGGACCATGGCTCTACTCAGTGCCCACGTGTGCAGGTTCCAATGGCTAGCATGGCAGGTTCTGTTAATTTTTTCCATAACTAAAAATTTTTGAAAACCTAAAATAAATGTTGGCAATTATTATTTTATAGACGAAGAGGCAGGTCCCAGGAGGGAGGAAATGAATGAACTAAATTACTTCCTGTCCACAGGGAGCCACACCTGACCTAGGCCTCCGGGCAGCTCACGTGGGCGTGGTGTGGAGGCACCAGGATGCCAGAGGCAGGCAGAGACGCCAGCGACCTGCCCACAAGCAGCTTTCTTTGTTGGTTGGCTGGCCAGGCCTGTGGGGAACAGCCATGTTTGGAGCACATGGCATCTACAGGTCTCATTTAAAAAATTAAAATTTATTTGAAAGACACACACACACACACACACACACACACACTCTTTCATCCACTGGTTCACTCCCCTGCAATAATAGCCAGGCCTGGGCCAGGCTGAAGCCCAGAGCCTGGAACTCCAGCTGGGTCTCCCAAGTGGGTGGCTGGGATGCGAGTGCTTGGGCCGTCCTCTGCTGTGTTGCAGGCACATTAGTGGAGCTGGGTAAGTGTAGAACAGCAGGGACTTGAACTGGTTCTCCCATGTGGAATGTTGGCCTAACACAGTGCACCACTCATGCCTGCCCATGTTTAGGCAGACTTTGGTATGCACAAGTGGTTTATGTTTTTTTTTTTTTTACTTATTTTTATTACAAAGTCAGATGTACAGAGAAGAGGAGAGACAGAGAGGATCTTCTGTCCGATGATTCACTCCTCAAGTGACTGCAACAACCAGTGCTGTGCCGATCTGAAGCTGGGAACCAGGAACCTCTTTCGGGTCTCCCACGCGGGCGCAGGGTCCCAAAGCTTTGGACTGTCCTCGACTGCTTTCCCAGGTTACAAGCAGGGAGCTGGATGGGAAGTGGAGCTGCCGGGATTAGAACCGGCATCCATATGGGATCCCGGCATGTTCAAGGCGAGGACTTATAGCCGCTAGGCCATGGCACTGGACCCAGTTTGTTTTTAAACTGAAAATATTGGGTGTCTCCAGTGTGGCCATGTGGTTGTGAGCACATAGAATGCATGATCATGGAGTCACGCACTTTGTCAATATGCTCCCCGAATCTTCATTGCTGACCACAGAGAGAGGTAGATGAGAGAGCTTCCATTGCGGGTTCACTCCCCAGATGGCCACAGTGGTCAAAGCTGGGACAGTCTGAAGCCAGGAGCTTCCTTTGGGTTTCCCACATGGGTGCAGGGGTCCAAGCATTTGAGCCATCCCCTGCTGTTTTGCCAGGCACATCAGCAGGGAGCAGCTGAGACTTGAATTGGCATCCATGTGGGATACTGACATGGTGGAAGGTGGTTTTTTCTGCTATGCTACAGCACTGGCCCTTAGAGAATGTCTCCTCCCTTTTTTGTTCTGGGCTAACACAGCCAGGTTGAGATCTGTTGTTCTGAAGATGTTGTTCTAGGCACATTCTGTTAGTGACTGCTGCCCAAATGTATAAGCAGCCAGTTGATGGAAAAAATACTCCTTTTTCAAGTCCTCAGTTCCCAGATGATGGCCACACTAAAAAGGGTCATGGCCACATACAGCCTATCCGTGGCACACTGTACTCTACGCGTTCCCAAAGACAAGGCCATCACAGAGTTCATCACTGGGCCCTGCATGATGACTCAACCGGCCAATCCTCCACCTCTGAGTGCTGGGATCTCATATGGGCACCGATTCATGTCCCGACTGCTCTACTTCCCATCCAGCTACCTGCTTATGGCCTGGGAAAGTAGCGAAGGATGGCTTAAAGCCTTGGGACCCTGCACCCGAACGGGAGACCCGGAAGAAGGTGCTGGCTTGTGGCTTTGGATTAGCTCAGCTCAGGCCATTGCGGCCACTTGGGAAGTGAACCAGCGCATGAAAGATCTTTCCATCTCTCCTTTCTGTATAATCTGCCTTTCCAATAAAATAACTGCAAACCACTCTTGCTTTTCTGTTGATCTGGTTTACTCTAATGAACACACTACCAGACTGCCTTCAAGCTGCTACTGACTTCGGGTGACACACCCTGTCCCGCTGATTTGGGGGTGTCATCAGGACAGAGCAGACTGATGCCGGCTCCAGCCAGTTTTCTCACATCTCACTTCTTCAAGTTGGCCCCCACCACTGTTTTCCAGCCCAAAATAACTTTTCCTGAAGACCGTTTAAGCAAAACCAAGAACAATGGGGGATCATGTTTTGTTTTTCTGGATTTACTTAAGGAACACACACAGAAAAATGCGTGTAAATGATTTTGAACAAAAAAATGTTCTGAATTCATCATTGGCTGATTCACCTCTCCGTGGGCAGTCTGGAAGCTGACTCATGCATCTGGCGGTCTCTATAGATATGTTTGTGATTCCAGATTTGCTCTAGGAATAGATGACCCTTCTTTCCTTGGGTGGTGACAAGTTCCTGGTCCTCCTCTGCCCCAAGCCATGCATGCCCTCTTGGGAGACAAGGGGATGGGGCCTGGACTGGTCTAATATTTGCAATTATTTTCTTATAACCTGCAGAAGGCTAACTTCCCGTCTTGGTCTCACTGGAGTTTGGCACTGTTGCAAATCCTGAACAGTTAAGCAAAACCCATTTTGGCTTTTCCATGTTTCTAAGACAAGACTGGGCCTTTTGAAGAAATCACCGCATGAGAGAAAGTGTAGGTGGCATCAAAGGCAGAAACTCAGAATTTAATCTGATTTGTTATGGAGAACTGTCTGTATAAAAGGAAATGACTTTGAATTTTGGGGTGAAGATTGGTCCTAACCTAACAATGGGTGTTTTGTTAAAAACTGCCATAAAAATAAATGCTACTCTAAAATGCAAATGCCAGTGTTCTTTAGGACTGAATGGTGTGAGCTGCTCCAGGCTTATGCAAATATTTCCTTGGCCAAATGCACCCCTAGTGAGGGCTTCTCAGACTGGGTGGGGATCGGTTCACCTGTGAGGACTGAAGCTCCACCACAGGCGGGGTGGGCTGCTGACTTCCCTGAGAGCAACGCCTGAGAACTTCCTAAGACGCACCAGCCTGGGAAGCTGCTGCAGACCTTCCTTCAACCCACCAGGATGGAGACACCATCAGAATGGGCAGATCCAGCATCAGTGTCTCTACAAGCCGCAGGTAAAACCCACAGGAGAGTAGCTGCTGCCTTCTTGACCCCCACATATTTTGTTTTTCAAAGTTTAAAGCCACTTAGTAACCTCTGCTTAGGAGCCAGTGACTGAAGAGACAGAAGGTGCCGCCAAGGTCCCAGTGTGATTCCGTCCCCTCCAGGCCAACCCACGGCAGAACAGGAGTCCAAGGCACCAACAGCCAGGATGAGAACCGAGGAAGAGAAGCCGGGGCAGGAGTGGGATGGCAGGAAGGACCTGACAGAAATGGAGGAGCAAGCAAAAGCATGATCTGGAGGCTCTTCACGCACGGCCCGCCACCTCAGGACCCCAGAACTGCTCGTAACGCTGACTGAAGGGGGGCCTGGGATGGACGGAACTAACCTCGCCTGTGAGGGGAGGCAGGCTGAGAGGGGGCTGAGCTGGCAGCCAGCGAGTGGCTGCTTCCAGGTCTGTGACACTGCTGCGGGGTGAAGGAAATCCCCCTGTGCCTTAGGGTACCAGCATGGCAGGTGGCATCCACTGTACCTCAGTCTTTTAGAAACCGAGACCCCACTCCCTGCCCCCATGTATAGAAAAGACAAAGTTCAGCGAGTCTCTCTCTCTCTTTTTTTTTTTTTAAGATTAAATTTCGTTGTAAAACCAAACGGTCCTAAATGGTTAGGATTATCATAAGGGACCCTACATCAGCTATGGAAAACGGACGTAAGCTGCGATGGGCTGGACGTGGGCTGCTGCCTCAATCTCCATACCAGCAGCCACTGCCGTTCTCTTCCTCCGGGAGTGGTCCCACACCACCTCTCAGGGGACCCACGGGGCAGCCGCAGGATGGCTCTGTGTGTGTGTGTGTGTTTGGGGGTGGGGGGAGGTGAAGGGTGTGGAGAAGCTACTGGTTTTCCATGTGCTCCCAGAATCACATAGACTAAAGCAAATTTGACATTAAACACTGTTTAGTCCTGAGTTGGGTGACCGTCATGGAGGAGGGGCCGAGTTCACTAGGACTCTTTGCCCTCCTTGGCGCGGCGTCATACATGGCCTGTGGGTTTCTCTTCTCCCATCACTTGACTTCCGGCTGCTCTTTCGCTGGCGGCCCCTTCTGAAGTCTTCTTGCCCATTGCTCTGTTGGCCTCTTCCTGAGGAAGAAATCAGAAACCATGAGGGCCCGAGCAGAAAGCAGTGAAATAAACTGTTCATCGAGTCCCAGGTGAAAGGGTATGGCAAAGATCTATGGGCTACCTCGTTGGGTGGGTTGGAGACAAGCCCCTGACGCTGGTATTGAGCAAGTGCTTGTCTTTGGGTGAACTGACTAGCCTGCTAGGACAAGCGTTTGGCTTGCACCCATCACTGGCGAGGCTGGGTTCCACGCTTGCCTCTGGCTCTGGACTCGTGCCTCTCACTCTGAAGAGCCTGAGACCGCAGTGACGAGTTAGGTGACTAGGGCTCTGCCACCCACTTTGGGGGGAACCTGGACTGAGTTCCTAGCTGCTGGCCCCGGCCCTGTCCCAGCCCTGGCCCCTTATGCACATCTGGAGAGTGAACTAGCAGACGGGAGCTCTCTTTCTGTCTCAACCAAAAATTATTATTATTATTATTATTATTATTTTACTAAAATGACTAGCTTGTTGGTCCCAGCAGGATGGCTCAATGATTAAATCATTACCTGCAAGTGCTGGGATCTAATATGGATGCCAGTTTGTGTCCCAGCTGCTCTACTTCCTTTCTATCTCCCTGTTTGTGGCCTGGGAAAGCAGTTGAGGATGGCCTAAAGCCTTTGGGACCCTGCACCCCTGTGGGAGACCCAGATGAAGCTCCTGGATCCTGGCCTTGGATCGACTAAGCTCCAGCCATTACAGCTATTTGGGGAGTGAACCAGTGGATGGAAGATCTTTCTCTGTTTCTCCTTTTCTCTGTAAATCTGCTCTGCCTTTCCAATAAAAAGAAATAAATCTTTAAAATGACTAGCTTGCTAAGTGGAACTCATTGATGAAGCACGAAGCGGCTCAGACCAGGGAAGAAGGTCCTGCAGGGAGGCCAACTCCTCCTGTAGGCTCGCCGCCCCTGTCATGCTTGCCCTCGACGCAGGGAGAACAAGGGAGTACTACGATCTTTCAGGTGAGACAGTCTGAAGAGTTTTTAAGCAGCACAAGCTTTGGTAGGGAGAGTGCTTCCTCTGTGACCTGCGTGGACCTGCCAGGACCTCCCATCCTGTAACTTTGCAAAGTGGCGTGCTGTCCCTCAACCTCCGGTTCTGCACCAGCCTCTAGTAGATGGGATGTGAACTGACCCTGCTCCTGTGCCTCTCTGGTCGTCTGCCCATCTCCATCTCCCATCCTGAACTTTCTCAGAGCACACACCGAAGGGGCAGGGAGTGCTCCCGATTCCCACACACACCTTGGCGTCCTGCTCTGCGAACTTCTTGAACATGTTGGCGTAGATCCTGCGGTCCCGCTCGTTGTGCTCCTTCGCCTTCCGCTGGCACGTGGAGATCTGCAGCCGTGCAGCCTTGTTCTGGGGGTTCACCTCCAGCACTTTCTCAAAGTCACCCTTGGCTGACTCAAATTCATTCATGAGTAGCTGGGCTTCACCCCTCCTGTACAAGCCTTTCTCGTTGGCACTGTCCAGTCCGAGGGCCTGGGAACAGAAAGCGCATATTTTAGAAGGGCTGAAGGTAACCCTTCGTGTTGGTAGGAATCTTAAAAAGGAATTCAATAGTTCTCTGGCCAAAAGAATTAGGCAAGATGAAAAAAACGGCCTCAAGATAATTGTATATCACTGATTAAAAAATGGATGTAGTTACTTTCTGCCTTGAATGCAGTTTTTAGAAAAATTGCAAAGATGTTTGGAAAAAAAGAAAAAGAAAATGATTAAATCCTTACCTGCAAGTGCTGGGATCTAATATGGATGGCAGTTTGTGTCCCAGCTGCTCTACTTCCTTTCTATCTCCCTGCTTGTGGCCTGGGAAAGCAGTCGAGAATGGCCCAAAGCCTTGGGATCCTGAACCCATGTGGGAGACCCAGATGAAGCTCCTGGATCCTGGCCTTGGGAGAACTTTTTGTTTCTCCTTTTCTCTGTAAATCTGCTCTGCCTTTCCAATAAAAAGAAATAAATCTTTAAAATGACTAGCTTGCTAAGTGGAACTCATTGATGAAGCACGAAGCGGCTCAGACCAGGGAACAAGGTCCTGCAGGGAGGCCAACTCCTCCTGTAGGCTCGCCGCCCCTGTCGTGCTTGCCCGACGCAGGGAGGACAAGGGAGTACTACTACTTCTACCACAGGACAAAAGTAAACTGTGAAATGACAGAAACTTAACTTGCTCAATGTAGATGTAAATAAAACTAGCAAGTACTCAGGCTGCAATGTCAATCACTGGGGAAAGGACGAGTTCAACAGTGGCTAGTCATGATGGGACAGAAGAACTAAATTCTTGGGGCCAGAGCTGTGGCGCAGGAGGTTAAGCTCTGCCTGTGGTGCCAGCATCCCATGTGGGTGCCAGATTGTGTCCCAGCTGCTCTACTAGCTCCCTGCTTATGGCCTGGAAAGGCAGTGGGGGATGGCTTAAGGTCTTGCCTCAAGTACCCACATGGGAGACGTGAAGGAAGCTCCTGGCTTTAGATAGGCTCAGCTCTGGCTGTTATGACCCATGGGGGAGTGAACCAGCAGACGGAAGATTCTCTCTCTTTTTCCTTCTGTCTGTGTTTCTCTGCCTTTTAAATAAAAATAAATCTTTTTAAAAAAGAGATACATTCTTACTTCACATCATAAACACCAAAATTAATTCCAGACCAATTATATTTACATGTTAACAAGGGTTTTTAAAATTTAATTTAAATTGTATTTGAAAGACAGAGAGATAGTAATAGAGACAGAAAGATCTTTAACCTGTTGGTTCAATTGTAAACACCCACAAAACCAGGTTTAGATCAGCACAAAACCAGGAGCCAGGAACTCAAGCTGGGTCTCCCATGTAGGGTAGGAATTCAAGTACTTGGGCCACCAGCTGCTGCCTTCCAGGGCGCCCATTAGCAGCAGACTAGATTGGAAGTAGAGTGACCAGGATTCAAACCAGGCCCTCTGACAGGGTGTCCCAAGCAGTGCCATAACTTCTGTGCCATGTCTGTAACAGGGATAGCATAGGGAAGACTTTTTCAATTAGAACGGAAAGGACAGACTTATTATGCAAACAGTAAAACATTCTTTACTGAAAAAGGTACAGTCGCAAAGTTCAATAAGAGAGTGCGGGCTCCCCATTGCAGATGAAAAGGTAAGAGTGTTAACGGACAACCACCTCACACACCAAGGGAGACAACTGCCTCACACAAGAAGCTGCTCAGTTCACGGGAGACATACAAATGACTAAGAGGAAGATGTGATTCAGTTGCTGGGTGGTGCATCCCATCTCATATCAAAGCGCACGGATGGGAGTTCTGGCCTTGTTTCCAACTCAGCTTTCCGCTAACGCACACCCTGGGAGGCAGGCGGTGATGGCTGTAACGCGTGGCTCACTGCCACCTACATGGGAGTTCCCAATTCAGTTTCATTTGGTCCAGCCCTGGATGTTGTGGGCTATTGGGAAGTGAACCAAGTAACTGGAAGCTTTCTCTTTCTTTTCACCTTTCAAATAAATAACTAACAACAATAACAACAGAATTTTTTTTAAAGAAAAGATTTGCAACCTTACTAGTAGCCAAGACATAAAAAATGAATGTAAGAATGTTTTTTGTGGCCATTAACACCAACAAAAAGGAAAACCAGTGATATTCAATAATAACATATATTAAACATTTTAATGTTTATGTCTTTTGAACAAGCGTGTCCACTTGGAGAAATTTATCCTATGAAAACAATCCCAAGAGTAAGCAAAGAGGATGCTCTGTGATGGCAATATTAGAAGCCTGTCAAGCTACCAAGGGGATGGGCTAAACAACTTATGACAAATGCTTAGAATTCATTAGGAACCTAAAGACAATGAGGGGAGCTGGATAAGACTGGTCAGGTGCAGAAAGATGTTGTTTCTTTCTCTCTTTCTCTTTTATTAAATATTTGTTTTTATTGGAAAGGCAGATAAGATTTACAGAAAGGAGAGACAGAAAAAACATCTTCTATCCACTGTCTCACTCCCCAAATAGCTGCAACAGCCAGAGCTGAGCTGATCCCAAGCCAGGAGCTTCTTCTGGGTCTCCCACAGGAGTGCAGGGTCCCAAGGCTTTGGACTGTCTCCTGCTGCTTTCCCAGGCCACAGGCAGGAAGTTTGACTGGAAGTGGAGCAGCTGGGACATGAACTGTCACCCACGTGGGATCCTGGACATGCACACAGGAGTCCGAGGACCCAAGCTGTTCTCTGCTGCTTTCCCAGGACATAAACAGAACACTAGATCAGAAATGGAGCAGCTGGGACAAAAACCATGGCCCACATGGGAAGCTGGCACTGTAGGCAGAGGCCTAGTCTACTGCACTACAGCACTGGCAAAGACTTATACATATTCTTAATTAGTGAATTAAATACTATAATAATAAAAAGCTAACCTGCATCAATCTTTTAAATGAGCAGTTGCATTTTGCCGTGTGAAAGACAGGCACCTGCCCCTTTATCAAGACTTATTCCTGGGCCCGGCGCGATAGCGTAATGGTTAAGGTCCTTGCCTTGAATGTGCCGGGATCCCATACGGGTGCCGGTTCTAATCCTGGCAACGCCACTTTCCATCCAGCTCCCTGCTTGTGGACTGGGAAAGCAGTTGAAGACAGCCCAAAGCCTTGGGACCCTGCATCTGTGTGGGGGACCTGGAAAGAAGTTCTTGGCTCCTGGCTTCAGATTGGCACAGCACCGGTTGTTGCAGCCACTTGAGGAGTGAATCATCAGACGGAAGCTCTGTCTCTCCTCCTCTCTGTACATCTGCCTTTCCAATAAAACAAATAAGTCTTAAAAAAAAGAGACTTATTCCTAATACATTATGATAGTCTGAGTACCAGCAAAGTCAGTACTACAAGTCTTTCTGGATTTCCCAATTGATAGTGAAAAACAATTCCAAACTGACCAACAAATAAAGCAAAATGGAAACCTTCCCAACAACTGGCTAAGAGGATGGGGAAGATCATCACTTAAAAAGCCAGGGGGTCTAAAGCCCATTCCCATCTTTCCGCTCCTTACCTTATCGCAACACTCGACAGCTTTGGTGTACTCTCTCAGCTTCAGGTAGCACATGGCCAGGTTCAGAAAGGCGGCCAGCAGAAACGATTCTGAAGCTTTGGATTCCTTTTCTGATAAGCCATATTCCATCTCTAGCCAGGACACTATCTTTCCATACTGGATCACCGCCTGCAGGTACTTGCCTCCCTAGGAGAAAAAAGCTGTTAAGTTCTTTCTGTGTTGCACTCTGGAGTGGTGCAACCATGGCCTTGAGTCAGTAAACCATACCCTCCAATCAACACCATCCCTCCAGTAAGCCCTGGAACGGGTGCTTCTTTCTGCCCCTTCCCTACCTCTCAGAAGCTCCAGCGGCCCACTTCTTGCCCTGGCGCTGCCCAGTGTGGGCTCTTGGAGGGCCACGCCGTCCAGGCAGCAGTAGGCCCTAAGCTTTTGGGCTACCAGCTTCGGTGCTAACATGTGTCAGTCTTTATAAAGGAGGGTGACACTCCCAGGCCCCACCTCTGGTGTGGATGGTGGGGATGGCACTTCTCTCTTTGCCCCTGCCTTTAAACAGCATAAGGTAAATACTACATTGTGGCAAGTTCCAGTCCCAAACACAGTAACCCTCAGTTACTGAAATCGGTGTCAGCCGCAAACACTGAGTTCTGTCACTTGTAGACCGAAAGCCTCTCCAGGCAGCGTACAGAAAGGGGTGTGGCTGGACCTGCAAGCACTTCACTGAGGCAGGGAAGTAGTGTGTGGTGGAGGCTTCCTTTCATGGTAAGAGCAATCCGAGTGGCAAAACGGGGAGTACAGGTGGAGGCTCCGTTTCAGGTAGGCAAACCCCAATGAACAGGCGGTAGAGAAGAGCCACATATGTCAGGACATCGAGGTCAGCGTTTATGTGATGGGTACTGTGAACCAGGAGGGTAGTCTTCATCACAAAGCACTGACCACACCTCGACCCCACACACTGCAGCCCTCACCCAGAGATGGAGCAGCAAGGACAAGGACATACAGCAGGTCTAGAAGAGTATTCCCGGGACACAGGCTAAGCCTGCAGGATGGAAGCCCTGAGGATGGTTTCTGGTGAGGATGGAGCAGACGTGCTTCGCAGAGGGCCTGGGTCTGTGCTAAGGCACGTGGTCAGGAAGGGGAAGATTCTCTCAGCCCATTAGTGTGGCTTCAGGCAGGCACGAGGAGGGCAGCCATGCCATCAGCCGATTATCCTCTCTGTCTCAGAAATGTGACATCAATGATTTCTAAGACTATGAAACCACGGGTTGGGGTTGTGGTGCAGCACATTAAGTTGCGACCTGCAAAGCTGGCATTCCACAATGCAGTGCTGGTTTCAGCCCTGGATGCTCTGCTTTTTTTTTTTCCTTCTTTCTTTGGATACTCCACTTCCCATCCAGCTTCCTGTTAATGAGCCTGGGAAAGCAATGGATGATGGCCTAAGGACTTGAAACCCTGCACCCATGTAGGAGACCAGGACAGACTTGGCTCTGGTTTGGTCCAACCCTGACTGCTGAGGTCAATAGGGAATAAATCAGCAAACAGAAAACGATCTCTTACTCTCTGCTATTTTTTTTTTAAACAAAGAAAAAAAAAACCTAGAAAAAAAATCAAAAGTTCTCTTTTATAGAAACAGTACATGCACATGGGTGAGTGTGTTAAGCCATGATTTGCCACACTGGCATTCTGTCCAAGTACCAGCTCAAGTCCTGGTTGGTCTATGCTTCCTCTCCAGCTCCCTGCTGATGGGAAGGCAGTGGGTGATGGCCCAAATACTTACGCCCCGCCTCCCAGCTTTTATTGGAAAGGCAGAGTTACAGAAAGGAGAGACAGAGATCTTTCATTTGTTGGTTTGCTCCCCAAGTGGCCACAACAGTCAGAGCTGAGCTGATCTGAAGCTTCTTCTGGGTCTCCCATGTGGTACATGCTGGGTCCCAAGGACTTGGACCATTCTCTGTTGTTTTCCGTTAAGCAGGGAGCTGGATGGGAAGTGGAACAGCTGGGACATGAACTGGTGTCCATCTGTGCAGCTGGTGCTGGCCACCACACTGGCCCTGTATTTCAGACTTTGGTTTGACCCAGACCTGGTGTTGAGGCCAGTGAGCAAGCAGACAGATCTTTCTCCTTTTCAAGTAAATAAACAAATCCTCAAAATATATATATATATGTAAAACCAGACCCAAAATGCCAAAATTTTTGGGAAAAGTTCACCTGCTATGGGTGAATTGCGTTAGTCACCCTGATTTCACATCTTGCAGCCCTAACTCCAGATATCATGCATGGTATTTGGAGATGGGCTTTTAGGTGGCAATTAAGTTATTTTAAATTTTTATTTACTTATTTGAAAAATACTCCCCAAATGCCTGCAACAGTGGGGTTGGACTATGCCAAGCTGGGAGTTTCTTTCCAGGTCTCCCATGTGAACCACAGAGACCCACGTCCTTCAGTCATCACCTCTGCCCCCAGGGCGGTCATTAGCAGGAGGCTAAAACCAGGAGAGTTGAGATGCAAACCCAGGCAGTTCCATTTGGGATGCAGACACCAAAATGGGGGGAACTGATCCAGGCAGGATCCAGCATTCCCCCTGGGGAATGCTGGCATTTCAGGCTGCGGTTTTACCTGCTGTGCCAGGGTGCCGGTCCCCCATCATGGCCGTCTGATCTTGGATTCTGAGTTTCGGAATCGAGAGAAGCTGTTTTAGCTACGCAGTCTACGGCAGTTTGTATAACTGGTCGGACACTGAGCTGAGGCCCGTTTCCTCACAGCCTCAGGCCTACCACTCCTTCTGCAGTAACCCCAAACAGAAGAATGAAACCCTCCGCAGGATTTCACCTCTTTGCGAGTTGAGCATTTTCTTCTTGCCGCTGCCTTGTCCCACTGGATCGTGACTCTCCTGGGCTGTGCAGCCTGTCCTACACTTTCTGGTCTACGCGTGGCATTCTCTAAAGTCACAGGGTAAGCACTGAGGTCAAGGAGACCATAACGATGCAATCGAAACAACGCCGGTGCAGGTGGAAAGGAAGGGCGCCAGGCACGGTCTGCCTCTCCCCTCTCCTTCCATGTGTCGTGGTCCCTCGGGCTGCCCTCCCAGGGAGGATGGGGCTGAGATCTCACGCCTCCCTCCTGAGGAAAGAACAGTCCCAGACCTCTCACAGCTTCTTTGCACCCACAGAACATCTGGATTTTTAAAAAGCCCTTTCACTCACATAAGTTTTATTTAGCTTGTTATTGAGAAAGACTTTTTCAGGATCTCTGCTTTTGAGTTTCTGCAATTGTAGTTTTCAGTTGTAGGTGACTTTTGGACTCCCTTGAGGGCAGTTGGCCACGCTGGGAGATCTTTCACAGTCATCACCCCTGGGGTGTGGAGGAGCTGGGAAGCAGTCAAGCAGGCTACTGCACACAGGACAGTCCCGTGACAAAGGATTCCCTGACCCTGAAGGTCAACAGTGTTAAGGTTGAAAATCCTGTACTGAAAGAAAGGAAGGAGGAAAAAAACAAAACAAAAACAAAAACACAGAGGGAGTAGGTTTTGTTTACGAGCTTTTTAAAAGCCCAGTGCCTAGAGTCAGAGAATGACTTGTTTCCAAACTGCATGACTGGTATCCTGGATCTAATCGGGGCCAAGTCTGGTTTGTCTGAAAAGGGTTGGGTGGCTGAGTCATGTCTAACAACGTGGTTTTAGGAATGCTGTCCCCCCAGAGCAGCACAAGGGGGCGCACCAAACCCACACCCCGACCGCGTCCCTGGGGCTCTTCCTGCTGCACTAAGCAGGTGTGACAGCTAAGGCTGCTCCGCTCCCTGCCCCTTTCAGTCCTGCGGATACTGTCAACTCTGAGGGCAAAAATCAATGTCTGTTTAACCGGCTTGCACAATGCCTGGCAGGGTATCATGTTATTACCTGCTCTTAATTATTCTGAGTCAAATGGAAGGCAGTCCTCTCTTCTTTTTCTTCTCAGTGTTCAGAGGTTGAAATGAAGACTTTGCAATCTAAACAGCACAATCGCTTCCACTTAGAAGCTGAGTTCTCTTACCAGGGGAGGGAGGGAGGGAGGGATGGATCCCTTAAACACCACGGTGACAGGCCAATGGAAAAGCTCCAACGTGCAAACGGCACAAAATGTAGATTTCTGTTTTCAGTTCTCACCCACACATCTGGACTCTGTGCGTGTGCACAATGTGCCAAGTCAAATACCCTGGAAAGCTGAGGCCCAGGAGGGCAGTATGGCAGATTGGAACCTGCCCTGAGGTTGGAAACTGAAGGAAATGTGGGTACAGGAAACAATATACCAACCAACTTGAAGTTTTAGAGCAAAGGCTGGGATCTTTCACCTACAGTGAGGACGGTGCCCCCGGGGAAGCTTGTCGTAGGAACACAATGTTCAGAGAGTTCTGGGAGAAAAGGCTTAGGTCCGTGGTTTTGAATCTTTTGTGAATTTTTTCTCCCCCGATGGACTCATGTTTTGAAAGATTTCTTCTATCAAATTGCATGTTAAAGATAATTTGTTCCATATGTGTGACTGCTGATCCAGGCTTTATCCCCAGATCAGGAACTTGAAGACGGCTCAAGCGATGTTAGGAAAGGCACCCGGCATGACTGCCTTGGGACGTTATGAAGCCACAAGGCTGAGGAGCGTGCAGAGACCTAAGCACTGCATTGTGCTACTGATCAAACGATGGACCGTGAATTGTGGTCCTCTTTCCATGTGTATTCAGGACACGGGCATTGTCACACATGGGCTGGGGACATGACTTTTGCTACCATAATGTTCTCTATACCATCAGCGACCAATGAGAGCTTCTGGGAAGCTGTGCTATGTTACTGTACTGAGCCGATAAAGTGTTAGTCAAAAACCTCGAACCTCCCAAAATGCTTCAGAAGTTTCAGGAAACATAAAATATGGTCATGCATTGAGCACTGATGAGGAGATGTTTTGAGAAATGTGTTAGGTGATTTTCTACTGTGGGAAATAAGTGTATTTCCAGGAACCTAACTGGTGGAGTCTACCACTTACCTAGATGATACAACCAATCTGTACGGAGCCCAGACTCCAAACTTGACAGTGAGTTACTAGGCTGTAGCCTAGTAGGGCAATGTAAGTATTTGTGTTTCTAGCATGTCTAAGTACAGAAAAGCCCCAGTAAAAACGCAGCAAAAAAGATAAGCAGTGGCACCTGCCTAGGGCACTTATCCTGAATGGAGTTTGCAGGGCTCGTAGTGGTGAGTTACTGTGAAGGACAAGGACACCGAGCTGGACTGTGGACACGCTGGACGCTCAGGCTGAATTAAATACATACGAGGATTTTTCTTTCTTCAGTAATAAATTAACTTTAGCTGGGTATAGTTTTTTTTTTTTTTACTTTATAAGCATAAAAATTATAAAACATTTTGACTCTTTTGTAATAACATTTTGATTAAAACAGGATAGCAGTATAAAAACTCTGTACATCCTGACTTTATCAGCTTTTTCTATTTTACTTATTTTTTTAAAAAAGATTTATTTATTTATTACAAAGTCAGATATACAGAGAAGAGGAGAGACAGAGAAGAAGATCTTTCGTCCGATGATTCACTCCCCAAGTGAGCGCAAAGGCCGATGCTATGCCGATCTGAAGCCAGGAGCCTCTTCTGGGTCTCCCACGCGGGTGCAGGGTCCCAAAGCTTTGGGCCGTCCTCAACTGCTTTCCCAGGCCACAAGCAGGGAGCTGGATGGGAAGCGGAGCTGCCGGGATTAGAACCGGCACCCATATGGGATCCCGGTGCATTCAAGGCGAGGACTTTAGCTGCTAGGCCACGGCACCAGGCCCTATTTTACTTATTTTTATCTTTTTTTTTTTTTTTTTTGCTTTTGCTTGGAAACTAAAACACATGAGTTGGGCACAAGGCTCAACTGGCTAACCCTCTGCCTGAAGTTTTGGTATTCCCTTTGGGCATCAGGTTGTGACCTGGTTGCTCCACTTCCCATCCAGCTATGTTAGTGGCCTGGGAAAGCAGTGGAGGATGGCTCAAAGACTTGGGATCGTGCACCAGTGTGAGAGACCTGGAAGAAGCTCCTGCCTTTGCAGGGCTCAGCTCTAACTGATGTGGCCATGGAGGGAGTGAAGCAGCAGAGTGAAGATCTTTCTGTCTCTCCATCTCTCTGTAAATCTGCCTTTCCAATAAAAAACAAATAAATTCTAAACAACAACAACAATGACAAAACTAAGTCAAACACACAGGCTTTAGTCTAGGCCTACACAGAGTCGGGACCAGGACTACCACATCCCGGCCCAGCAAGGTTTTCAGGGGCAGTACACATGTGCAGCTGTCATTCATGACAACACAACCTCTTCCCCTCTTCCCAAGGAACCTGCCTGAGTTTGTTCTACAGTAAATGCTTTTTTTTTTTAAAGTAGAAGGAGTGTATGCTGAAAGTGATCATAAAAGGATAGCTCAGCAAATACATAAGCCAGTAACATCGTTATTTTTACTATCAAGTAAGTGCCCTACACTCAGTGGTTGGCAAACACCACGGGAAAAGTGCTGCACTATAAATTCATAAAGACTGTAGGAATCGCTTGGCTCCATCACAGCTTAGGGTACCACTGACACAGATATTGTTATATAGATTGTGGCTCCAGACCTGCAGGAGACATGGTCAGGACCCAAGGTCTTAAGGGATTTGATAGGGGGAGTTTCTTTTTTTTATTGTTTATATCAGTGTCTTGTGCATTTGGGTACACAAATAATCCATTTGGGACGTTATTTGAGTAGTTTAGAGTACTACTTCATTGAGAATTTTTTTTTTTTTAAAACAAGACTTGCTCTTATGAGTTTGGAAATTTAAGAGAAATTGAAAACTGGAAAGAAACTTGGGGATTATCTAGTGTAATTCCTTCACTTTTGATGTGAAAATATAACCTCGTTGGACCCTTTTCAATTATTTTAAATCATCTAAATAGCCTTTGGCCCAGTTTTCCAAAATTCCCCAAGGTTTCTGGTCATCGTTATTTTAGCATATTGTAAAGAAGCAAATATAAAAGCATAAATTATTCTATATTATTTTAAACTTGTGGGTTTAAGATGTTTGACTACAACCTACAGAAAGGAATGTTTTACATTGCAACCCAATACCCACTCATACTCAATAAGCCAAGGTTTTATGCAGAAAAAACTTACTATGTATTTCCCCAAATTAATTTTACATCCTAAAGTGGGGCTCGGTGTGAAGTCTGAAAGAAACCACACGCTTTGCTTGCCCTGCCTAGGTTCTCTTTGCACTGATGATGGTCTCGCGTTAACTCTGTCCTGGGTTAATGCTGCTTCCACTCCCTCAGCTGAGGCCATGAACCACACAGATGCTTGCTCAGGTTTGTGTGTCGTGGCCTCGCACTGCGAAAACCAGCACCTAACGGAAAGAGGCCTTGACAGAACTCTGTGTGTTCATGTGTTGTTTTTTTTTTTTTTTTTTCTTTTGCGGGGGGAGGAGGGTAGGGAAACACTGTGTAGGGCACTCTAGGCAGAATCACATAAAATGCTTTTTCCTTTTTTTCTTGTACCCAGGGGTTTAAAATCTAAGTGAGAAAGTCCTGCCTTCCCACATACTGGATGGGCTTTTAGCTCAGAGGCTCACACACTGCTGAGGACATCCACACCCCTACTGGAGTGCCTGGCTTGAGTCCTGGCTACTCTGCACCTGCAGAGGCAACAGGTGATATAGCTAAAGTCCTGGGTCCCTGTTGCTCCCACGGGAACGAGATAAGACTTCCTCTCTCTTGGCTTCAGCTGACCCAGCCTTAGTGTGGGCATTTGGGTAATGAAACAGAAGATTCACTGTCTTTTAAATTAAGATTCGCTGTCTTTTAAATTAAGATGAAAGTAAGTAAAGAAAAAAGGAATGCTGTTTAAGATATATTTAATTGAGAGGGAGGGAGAAAAAGAGAGAGAAAGTGAGCGAGTAGTTCATTTAGTGGTTCATTTTTCAAATGCCTACAATGAATGCTTGGGACTGGGCCAAGGCTGCAGCCAAGAGCAGAAAATATAATGCAGGTTTCCCATATGTATATCAGAAACCCAATCACTTGAGCCATGACTACTGCCTCCTAACTCTGCATTAGTGGGAAATTGGGAATCGGAGCTAAGAATTGAACCCAGGCACTCCGGTGTGTGACACGGGTGTCTTAACTGCTGGGCTACACATCCTCTTTGAAAGAGAGTTCTTCAGAAGCAATCTACGATGAAGATCATCCAGGACCTCCTACGGGCTACTTACATGGGTTGTCTTTAATCGTTATTTTTCTCTGGAAATCTGTGCATATTCTCTTTACATTCATCAGGTGCCCTAGTGTTACCAAAGTGGTGGAAAGAGCAACGGTGTGAAACTTACCCCAGGGTGAGTTCTATTTCTTGCTAACAATTATTCTATGCATTCTTCTCTGATTCCACACGTTTGCTGAGTGATAGCTAAGATGGCAACCAAGATGCTCTAGGCTCCAAGTGCTACAGCGTAAGGAGGGAGGTTACAAGCCAGAAGAGAATGTGTAAAACATATTTGTCTTCTCTTCTTCACATTACTATTATTGTTATTTTAACCCATTTCTTACACTGGAAATGACAGACTTTTAAAATCTCAAGCTTATTGTTCTAAGGAGATGTCAATCAAATTCAGAGTAGGGAGTTATCAGCACAACTCATTGATGGGTGAATTCTTTTGATGAACAGGATTATACAGGGGCTCACACACCTTGAAGTACACAGTTCCCTTCTCTTTGACAATGGCAGCTTGCTCCAATTTTTCTTTGGTATCCATCTCCCAAGATTCTTTGGCCTGCGTGTAAATTGGGGACAATGGTTAGAGGAACACAGAAGGAAAAGCATCAGGTGATTCCAGCAAGAACAAACAGCAGCTACTTGCGCAGGGTATGCCCACAACGTGAACCTCGCTGGCTGGTGACTTCAGGTGCCCTTGCCAGTTTACTGCCATGTGAGTGCTCCTGCTACTGTTTTCAGAACACACTCTGCTGACCCAATGTCACCCAGGAGGTTGGAGCAGGCAAAACCACAGTGAGGAACCGGCTGAAGAGGCCAGTGAGGCCATTTCAGGAAAGCCCTGCTACCATCACCTGACAAGCAAGTTGTTTCCTTCAGGCCTCAGGTTATCAGTTCTAGGGTTGGAGTACTAACCAGAGTGTATCACCAGCTGTTTGGTCCTGTAGAATCTTTAGAAGGTCAGGTTAAGTCTCTGAGCTCTGAGACAACCAGACATACATGAAAGACTGAAAATGTATCAGTCCACAGATGTATACTTGGGAGATTTCAAGAAAAATGTAATTAGGAGAGAAAGGTTCATGCAAACATGTCACTTTAGGGCCGTGGGAAAGTGACTTTGCCATTGTCTGCTTGCGTGTGCTATTACTCGTCACCTTCATGGATATAATCCAGAAACAACTGAACTGTCCACGTGAATGGCTGGATTTAAAGGATCATAAAAAGTCAACAGAATGATCTGTAGTCCTCAGGAAAAGTGACAATGGACAAGGCCGGTGCCAGTTACCGCATGCACGTCGCTGGGTTTAAGAAGAGAACTGCAAAATGTTCTCTGTTTAGCAATTAAGCGTTTGTTCTTGATGTTACAGCTAGCCCATCTTCTACTCTTTTTAAATGATGATACTGCTTTCTGGAGATCCATGTTGCTTTCTGAACAATATTGATCAATTATTTTAAAAACCCAGTGAACAGGGGCCCTCTGCAGGATTTTTTTTAACTTCAATTTTTATTAGTCCTACAAGGCAGAGAAGCAAACCACACTGCCCCATACACTATCCCACCCCTTGCACGTGGTTTCACACATCAGTCTAGTCAAGCAGTGATGACTGACAACAGCTTGCTGGGACAACCAACCAACCCCCCAATCCTGCCCGCTGGGGAGAATCTGCAAAATCAGCAGCCATGCCCAGGTCAGGGGAGGGAAGGAGGTTATCTGCACAGATGGAAACAGCGGAGCTCAAAGGCTGAGTGGTCATATGTTACAGGGCTGTGGGGACAGCGCTGGGCCTCCAGAGGACAAGACAGACATGACAGTTGCTGGTTGATTGTGGCAGGAGCGTGTTGCTTGTTTGGGGGAATGGGAAGCAACAAGATATTAAGAAGGCCCTTCCCTTACTTTCTTAGCCACAGGACGAGAGTAGCCTAATGAACCACATACCATCACAAGTGCCTTTTAATAGCTTTCTGTCCACACCGTGGAGGTAGCCCTGTGTTGGATTTAACAAAGGAATCCAGAAGGCTGCCCTTGTGGCATTAGCTGTGTGTTGTAGGGGGAGGCTTTGGCCCAGCTTGGGGAGGCAGCTAGGATGGCCCCACAGCTCACTGTGGCACCCACAGTGTGCGTGCCCAGGTAATCTGCTCTTGGCAAGCCTCCAGCGATGGGCTTGAGAATGGAAGCAATGTTCTAGGAGGTTTCTGGAGCCCAAAGCATTTGAAAAATTCTCTTTTATCTTCACAAAGGAGGTATAAAAAGGTCTGTGGTTACTGGGCTTCTCTCCTCGGGTCCTGGTCACATGGCCTGGTGGTCCTCAAGGCCTTGCAATTGGGCTGAAAACAGAGCCACAGTGCACGCCTCTTGGTGACTCCTGGGAAGGTACAATGCGTTCAGCACTGAAAAGCTGCACCCGGTCCCACAAGGAACTGCTTGGCAGAACGTGAACCTTTTTGTCCTCAACCCAGGAAAGAAAAGTACAAAAAGAACAAGTCTAGGAACAAATAAGGGAACAAGTCTTGGATTCTACCCAAAAAAAAAAAAAAAAAAGGGCTGACACATAGGAACAAAATAACAACACTTAGCTCCTCGGGTTGTATATCAGCTGTGCTATGTCAGCTGGCCCCAACTCCAGCGGCAGCAGCAGCGCTGCAGCCAAGAGACAGAGTGATCAGGGGAAGCACAATACAGAAACAAACACCATCTCTCTGCTCGGCCTGTAGCACACTGATTTATAGGAGGTGGGTAGAGGAGAAATTTTCTCACCTTTTCGAAGCTCTTAAGTGTAACTTCATATATAAGCTCAGCATTAGGTTCAATGCCAAATTTAGGCTTCCCTGCCTCTCCAAAACCATATCTGAAATGGAGAGTAAAAAAAAAAATGTATATATATATATGTAACTTTAAAAGAAATTGGTGTATTTCCAGGCACTTCCTTCTGTAGTTCAAGGCATTATAGTAGCATACAGCTATCGTTTGCGAGCTCCAAACAGGAGAGACCCTAACTACAAACCAGATGTTGCTCAGCAGACACTGTGCCGGGTACCACTACTGTGCATTCCTCAGAAAACCGGCTTGATTTGGTTCCCTTCTCTCCTACATGGTCACACGTAACCCAACACCTGTCTTCTCTAAGAGAGCTCACTAGATCTGATTTTAAATGTCACTGCCCTTTTCAATCTGCCATTTTACCTCTAGTTCTTGTCATAAAACGGCTATTATTTGGCTATTAGCACAGTTCCCTTAGCTTTATCAGCAGGAAGGACAGAGAACACGCAGGCACTGGAACTGTTTACATGGGATTCATCAGAGATGTTTTTAATAAGCTTTCACTAGCAGCAGGCTGCCATGTCTGACACCACCACCTCTGGCCCCAACAATGGTGGGGACTCGGGGTGGGAAGGCTCACACTTCAGGAAAGACATACAGCCTCCCAGCATTTCTTTCAGATTTTTAAAAAAGCATACGAGGGAATGCAAAGAATTTACCAAACATGACATAAAACATAGCACTAGCAAGCTCCAACCCCTCATCAGAAGACCCACTCTTAGAGCTTTGTCGCTATCACATAGTAAAACTCCACAACCAACTTGAGAAGAAAAATAATTACTGGGAAGATGTAAAATGTGTGGTTGAAGATCATTGGAGATGGTGAGAAAATTCAAGCCTACACCTGCCGGACCGGAAGCTCTAGAGGAGTTGCGTGCCTGGTTCAGGGGTTTGCGGCATCAAGAGCAACGCGCAGCACACAAGGGAAGTATGCACTGGGAGATTCCCTGTTGGAGCTGCTGCAAGCCCACCTGCCCTTTAATACACACAATGGTCTTACAATTTAGGGAAGCTAGCCCTCAGGCTGTGGGATGAAGGACTCAGCCTCAGGTCGGTTGAGGCTAACTTCTCCTCATCTTCTCTGGGACAAAAGGCTCAGCGTGGCTTGCACTACTTTCTTTCTTCACCCTTTGCCTGAATCTTCAGGAATAAAAAATGCTTACTCACTCACCTCCACTGTTACACAAGAAAATGGAAGTTACAGCCAGAGGGAGGCATAGAGATACAATGGGAGTTGGTAAGAATGGGGTGTGGAGGTTGTAATAGCAGGGCAAAGGGTATCTTCAACAACAACAACAAAAAAATTAAAAAACCCTGTAATTACCCATGGCTGGATTTGTGAAGCGGTGCCTTTAGTTTTGAGCTCTTAGACCTGTGTGTCTTTTATTTTGTTTCGGGCTTCGGTTAGATAAACAGAATTCCTTAACTCCTGGAAACCAGGTAGGAAGGTGAGTCCTTACCAAGTGCATGTTTACTTAAAGTATGTTTTATTTGGAATCTGTGCTAGGCAGGTATAAATGCAACCGACAATCTGGCACTTGCCTTGGGCCAGTGTTCTCAATTGAGGTTGACATTTGGCAATACCCAGAGACATTTTGGGTTGTTACAACCTGGAGGGTGCCACTGGTGTTTCGTGGGCGGAGGCCAGGAACACGGCTGAACATCTTCCAATGCACATGTTGCCCCTACAACCAAGAATTACCTGGCAAAAAATGTCAATAATGCCAAAGATGAGAAAACCTGTTTCTGAGTAATTCCTGGATAGAGGCTCCATCGTTAGAGGTGGGGTGCGTGTTGGGGGAGAGGAAAGTGAGAAGGTTGGGTATAGGGCGGCACCGGGAACTTCCTGGCTGTTACCAATGAGATTATAGAACACTAAGAAGGTGTTATTCCTATAACCCTCTCCTGGGCCAAGCTGTATGTAGAGCTCATCATCTTAGAAAGGCATGCGTTCACAACAGCCTGTTGTCGGGGGGCCATCTAGCTTGGCTTCTGTTTTATACAGAGTTGTCTTACTCATTTTGGATCAGCCTAGACAAAGACAGATGCAAGGCCGATAATTTATCAGACTGGAAAATAAAACCCTACAAACAGAATTCAAAGACTTAACCAGAAGGAAAGCTCAGCTACAGTAACAGAAGGAATTCAGCGTTCATGCCTAAAGCTGCCTCCAGAGAGTGCAGATACAAGGAACCGCCACTGATGACCATGAAAGCTTAAATGGAGAAGCACTTGTCCTGTACTTTCCCAACCAACTGCTTCCTTTTCACATTCAGGAGACAGGCCAAGAAGGGGGCGGGGGAGGGGAGGGAAAGAGGGAGAGGGGGACGGGAAAGAGAGAGAGAGAGAGATAGATTGATGGATTCCTGAGAAATCAACAAAGATACAAAGACACAGTGGCCGGGATTTAACTCAAGATTCTTTGTCTCCAGAACATTGTTTTTTGATCCATACAACCTCCTAATTTGACACTAACGCTTTTGGCAGCCTGTGTTGATGCAAAAGGGAAATATAAGGAAGGGAAGGAAAAGATTAAAAGGTAAAACTATTCACGTTTTACCTAGACCAAAACAAGACAAACCAATCCACAGTATTTAAAACAACAGTAAAAAGGGAAGCTACTGTCCCAATGAGAAAGGAGAAAAAATAATGGATTTCTTATTATAAAAATATTCTGCCAAGAATTCTATCAAAGGGAAAGGAATGCTTTGGAAACCTTCTGGAGAATGAAATGCAGACGATGCTAAGAACATATGTTTCCAACAGTCGTGTTTATAGCAACATTCAGATGTAATGTTCTAGGGCAAGTGGGAATCTGGATAAAATTCACTCATTGCATGCACTGAAAACACACTTGCTTTGCAGGGCTTTTCTCCATCCACGCACAGTGTGGTGCAATGCATGTGCTGACAGCCTCATGGCTTCTCAACATGGAGGGAGACACCACGCACAGAAAGCAACACGTTCCTTTCAACCTATGCTAACTTATATCCCTAATACACACGAAAAAAAAAAGTTACATCCAGAAATTTATTTCTGAAAAGATCTGAAAAATCTATCATATGTTCACACACATACAGGACTACTTTTTTCTTGTGTCCTGGGGATGACATGGGAGAGAAAGCGAGGACAGCACTCACGCGGGTTGCTGTCCTGAGGGCTGCTAAGTGCTTCCTGCACATTATTTCATTTAGTTTTGTGAGGTAGACACTGTTATCCCCAAGACACCGGACAGCCAAGTGCCCAAGTGCACACAGCTCTGGTAAGCTGCAGAGCAGAGCTTTAACACTGACAAGGGCTGAACAATGACCTGTTTAAACCTGTAAGGAACTAGCTGCATTTATACCTATGCAGATAATCTGTTTCTCCTTGACATTAAACAGAGACATCTGTCCCACAACTGCCTTGTCACACAGGTTGCAATGCAGTGAATGGATCAATTTTAGATTATGTTGACACTAGAGAGACCTTATCCCTGAGGAGTTTATGTCTGAGAAAACACATCAGACAGAAATCCTACTTTCTATCAGTTTAACAGAGCTGGGTAACATCTAGTCGGTGGGCAACAGGAGGCCTGAGAAATCGTCTGGCCTGGTTCTGCCCATGTAACCACAGACGGAATTCAAAAACTTGATAAATTTACAGTAGGATAGTTTTTAAGTCGATAATTTTGTATGGCCTGAGAATTATGCTATAAATACACAAATGGCCTTTGGCAGAAAAAAAGACACCCCACCCCTGATTTAGAATGATGATAATTTTGGAATGCTAGATTAGAAGTAATTAGAGATCACCCAGATATGGGGAGACAGCAATCTCGTTGATCCACTTTATTAAAGGAAGTTCCTTCTGGAAACAGAAACGGCTTCACTAAAGAAAGGCAATGTACACATAAAGAAAACACACTAGAGTGAGACTACTATGGTAGCAGAGAAAGGAATATGCTAGAAAAGAGAGAGAAAGTATTCAGTAAAGGACACGTAGCAAAAGCCAAAGAGTTCAAGGTAGAACATTCTGGAAGGATTTTCCTGTGGGTAGTGGCATGGCTAAAACGTTATCTGAGAAACACCGATTATGAATCAAGGACCAGGGCAAAGGCATACACACCTCTGCATGGCTAGAGGCTGCACGAGGGTAAACTACAGAAGGACTGGCAGGACCTACTGGAAAGAGTAGGTCATCAAGATTCTCGGAAAATCAGAAGCCTACCATCTGAAATACGTGGAACCAGAGTAGGGACAAACTAAACAAGCAGATGCACTTTCCTGCAAACAGAAGCAAGGCATGCTGGTTTCTCTCAGGAGTCCATTTCTCAAGATGGAAGGATTAGATTCACTATATAATTTTAGACCTAAAAATACTACTGAATGCGTTTTCGTAAGACAGTCAGTGTCTGATAGCTCTAAGCGTGGAAGTATTAATGGATCATTCTTATAATAGGAAAAAGTTAGGGAAAGATGAGTCATATTCCCTGTCTTTAGGTCCAGAAAGAAACTTTTTTTTCCCCTCTAAAAATTCAGGGGCTCGCTATAAGAACAAATGGCAAAAATTCAAGTGGTTGTAAATCATCTAAATGCTTCTTATGTGCCCCAACACCCACATGCTTTACTGCCTTCTGTCCCTAACTCAAAGAAAAGACAGCAAGTGAATGACATGTGAGAAGAGTTAATACTTCCGTGTCACGGCAACGTGGCAGACAAAACAAGGAAGAAAATCTGCCTGTTGGTCCTACCCTTAACTCGTTTCGATCAAGTAAACATGCTTACAAACCATTTTGATATTAAAAGGCCCATTAATTTTTTTCGATGACTAACTTATAAGCTGATTTAATGAACTGTTTCCAGTTTTGTATTAACTTCACTGAAATACCAAAACACTAGACGAAAAAGCAAGAATATCCTTGTTCTTTAGATAACCTTCACGTGTATTGAATGGGTATGCTCCTTACCGTGGTCCAAGGTACAAAATACACTGTTCTTCCCGCTGCATTTTCTCCAGGGCTTTGTCAATTCCGATGGGAATGTCATGATCTTCTCCTTCGCCCACAACAAAGACCACATCTCTGCAGTCAAACATCCTTCCACCACAGCAGCCTTCCAGGTGGACTGCGGGAGAGGCCAGGACAGTTAACAAAGGGGCTTCTTCAGACTGGCTAACTTGGCAGAGTGACAAGAATGGTAACAATGAGGCCAATACCACTTCTCCTTTTTCATTGCATCACATTTTGTCGGAGTTCAGTTCACCTATACGGAAAGTTTAAGAGCAACCATCTTGCTTTCTGTCTTTGTTAAACTTGCAATTATTAGTGATTGTAATTATTGGATCAGCAAGATAATTCAGTGGGCATTAGAACAAACTAGGAACACAGGTTTAATCTAAGCCAAGGCAGGTGGAGTATCCCTCACCCAGAAAAGCTCAGGACTGGAAGTGTTTTGAGGTTTTGGAGCTTTTGATTTTTGAAATATTTATGTAGCTGTTATTAGCTGAGGACTCCTAACTGAAATCTGGAACCTAGACACTACCTTTTGGAGAATTCTGAATTTTTGGATTACGGACACTTGACCTTTATGGATGTGAAGGCATTTCAAAAAGTCCCTAGAAAAATGGAGTTAAAATGAATTTTAAGTTTTTTGAAACCCATGCATAGTTTTTTTTCATAATATGCAAATTTCCCATAATCTTTTCTGAAGATCCTTTAGTGTCACAGAGGTAGCCTCACCTGTAACAAAGGGGCAAGAATATTCTGGATTATTTAATAGGCAGTTGTCAAAACCTTTAAACATTTAAAGTCAACTGTATAATGGTTTCAACATCTGCAACTGCATATTGGCTTCGGGCACTTGGGCAAAACAAACAATTGAGAGGTTTGTTCCCCATGACACACACAAAGGTTAACTGAGTACAAAGAGTTCTAATCTCATTTAAATATGGTTGAATAAAGCGAACATCCAAAGGCAGTGGCATTAATAACCATGTTCCTTAATGAAAGCAACAAGTGTAAAGTAGGAAGAACCAACAGTCTAGTGCAACTTCATAAATCAAATGCTTAATCACGTTCCCTGAAATGTTCAGTGAGAAATGTTGATTTCCTGGGGCTTATTTCCTATTGAGCTCCCACCCACTCAGTTTATTCCCAGAGTATTTTCATTTTAGATAACTGGCTTTTATCTTACTAAGATGCAACAGACAAAACACATTCATAGACATTTTTCTTATCAGCTAGACTCTTGTTTTTTTTCTAGGAATAACTCCCTGAAACTTTTCATGTTTAATATTAAGAATATTTATGTCTTTTCAGTTAAATATTTGATGTAATACAAAAACTGGATAGCTTTTATGACAGCATAACAGTCAACAAGTAACATAATTTGTCTTTCATTAGAAAACTTGTTTTTACCTCTATAATTTATGTATAATGGCCTACACTGAACTCTAAAACACTTTTTTAAAAGACTACTTTATCTGTGCTTTAAAGAGATTAGAAAAGTTTTACAAGACTACAGTCATCTCATGCCCTGTAAGATATTTGTTATTTTCTAAACATAAATTCAGTCTCAACTTGCTCTACTTTTGAACTATATGATCTCAAAGCTCCCTTGAAGCTCTAAAATTCTGACTCAGGAATAGAATCAGTTTCAAAGTCAATTCTTGTAGTTAATAATTTTGTTGGATTACCTGTGGCCCAGGCCTGAGAAATTAAACTCCGAAGAGTAAACAGTGATGGGGTAAACATTAGGAGCCAACATGTAACATGGACATTTATGCTTTGAAGCCCTCTGTCCCTATCTAGTTCACTAGGGTACATACCATCCTGATTTGAACAAACACATAGGATGGAGTCCAGGAAACTGGAGCCAGATTGGATTATTGGGTGAGGTCCTCCAAACAAGGGTTAGAGCTGGACTTGGCTCTCAGGACAGAGCTGGCACACGACATTGTGTTTCACATCTCATACCCATGAATGTGTAGATTATTCCCTCTTTATTACGTACTCTTTGGGGATGGATGCTCTATATTAAATACAACTGAATTAACTTGCAGTAAACTGAAGGTTCTAAAAAGCAAAAAATTTTTTCAAAATCTTTTTTATGGAGAAGGGGTTGTGCACATGTGCACGGGAGAGTGTGAGAGGGAGAGAGAGAGAGTGTGAGACGGAGAGAGAGAGTGTGAGAGCTTGAGAAACAGAGCTCCTAATCCCTGATTCACTCCCCCAAATGTCCAGGGTTGGGTGGGAAAGCCAGGTGCTGGGAGCTCAATCCATGTCTCTCACATGAGGGACTGACCCTAATTACTTGAATCATCACTGTTGCATCTCAGGGTTGGCATTAGCAGGAAACTGCAGTTGAGAAGTAGCACCAGGAACTGAACCCAGATACTTCACTATGGTATTTGAATGATTTAACTGCTTTGGCTAAATGGCCACCCCTGAAAAATATTTTAAAGCAAATTCAGTTTTATTATTTTCAAATACATGCATACTAAAGAGGCCCTGTAGGGAGCCTAGGAGTGGAGAGATTTTTACAAGAGTAAAACATGATGTTTCTTAAAAGGCTGAGAATTCTTAGAAGTTTGTGCTTCCAAGTATTTTTAAATGTGCCCAAGAAGCTTAATTAAGACGAATGGGTGCTACTTTTCATGAAAAAAGATTTGTTGAGGAAAATGAGTTTCAGCCCACATTCTGTGGATTATCTCAAGTACTGAGATTTATTACCCTTAGTAGCAGCTTACAACCTAGTCAACAGATCTCTCTGTCTGAGGTTTTTGTTAGAAGTATCATCTTCCTCCTGAAGGAGAGTGCATTTAGTGGGGGAAGGAAATTATCAGAACATTTGTTATGGCTTTTGGTTGATCAGGTTTGAATGTGTTTCCAAAACAGGAAATTCAGACTCTGCAAAGGACTCCTGCCTGTGTGTCAGTTTCCTAGGCTGTTTTTCAGTTTGTAATGTACTTGCTACTAATAAAGCAATGAATGGGAAAGCAATGAAGTAAATAAATAAAGTATAATGAAAGCATAATTATGAGAGCAAAACATTCACTGCATTTAGTTTCTCTTAGATAACAAAGGACAGCACCAGTATTTGTGGCTACCTTACAGGAAGGAAAGATTTGCAACAGCTCTTATACTTACCCCTACATAGATGGACAAATCCTTTCTTCTGGCATTGTCTTAGCCCTTAGTGATTGGACCTGATTAAGCACTACTTCTAGTAACACAAAATCTTACAATGACAGCTGCACGGATGAGTACATATGTGAGCGCACACCCACTGTCAGTGGTGTGTGTAAAACCACCACCTTGTAATACTGACTGTATCTGGAATGTCAAGGCAAGAGGAGGTATAACTGCCCCAGGGCATATGCAGTCCAAGACTTTTTACATCTACAAATAGTGAAGGCTATCACTTGTGGGTTAACTGGTTTTTAAACTTGGATCACTGGTGGGACAAGTTCTGCAAGATGGTTGACAAGAACTCACACACCACTTGGAATCATGTGGCTTGCTCCTACAGATCCTACTACTATTCTTATTATTTTCTATTAGTTTAACAATTGCTACTAAAGAGAGCCTTAGTAGCTCTGGCTGTGGAAGACCTGTGGTTGCTTTTGACTTTGCATTTTTTAGTGCAAATACTAACTTAATAAATATTTAATAATAACCACCATGACTCACTTGGGAGCTCAGCCTCTGGGGCTCAGGAGGTCTGCTGCTAATCCCAACCAGCATGATTTACGGGAAGTCAGTGATCTGTGACGTTCCAAAGAGAATAAAAGGACATACAGGATGCTTCTACTTAGGGCTTTCTTGGTAGTAAAAGAAATAAACAAATTAGAAAGAGTCAGCCTTTTCTCTTGACTTGAAGTCTATGTATTGTAAAGGGAGGGAGGTCCTCCCCCAACTTCACAAAGTCAAACCAAACCAAATTACTCAAGCTTAGCTGCGCAATCCGAGTGTAACCACATCAAGTGAGCCTGGCCCGATGCAAAACATCATTTAAACTGGAGCTCTGACTTATTGTTCTCTTACTGCCCTAGAGCAATTTTGTTTTGAAGAGCACAGAACACCCTGTTCTGAATGTGGCTGGCACATGAACTCGATGTGCTGACAGCAATTTGTACTCCGATTAAAATGGGGGGGGGGGGAAGGAAAGAGAGCACACAGCAGTAACAAAAACTGGAATGCAAGAACCCAAAAACTGTACAGTTTGTATTTTAGGAAGCAAAACTGAGAAAGAGGCTCCATAACTTTAAAAAAAAAGTGCTGTAAACGCTCCAGCCTAAAGACGCTAGCTCTGGTAAGTGTCTGTTTTTCCCTTTTCTAATTATAGCAGTTGGTGTCTGATAGCTTTGCACTCATTCCCCAAACAATTACTGGGTCATGGGGATCTGAATGGGAATGTTGTAATGGCATTACTACTAGACAAGACTGGCCATTTGGCCAGGGAAAACCAGGTTGGGACAGGTTACTCCCACTGGGCAAGGATTTTCTCTGCTGCCTGACTCATGCCAAAGAGTTTTTTTTTCTGCCTATGTCTCTTGCTCAATAGTACAGAGCATCCCAAACGAGTGGGGTCTCTAGTAACCTCCGGAACAGGCAGGCAGAGATGGATTTCTAGAAGCATATTCATCACCGATGATAAAAATATGGTTCTATCAGGCATGGTGGTCAAATTTCCCCCAACTGCCTCCTCTGTCTTCACTGGTTTGCATCACTGGACATGAACAAACACTACTGCTGAGAAGCCTTACAGGACTGCGGGCAGGAGTGGGAGCTAGCTCTTGCAGCAGCATGCCATTTATGTAAATGACTTTGATTTCATAGTCTAAACAGGAAGTACATACTCAGCAATAATACATTCTCTACCAACAGAAACCTTTATCACCATTCCTTTTACATCAGGGGAGCCAGACCTGGATTCTAGTCTCATTTTGTCACTCAACAATCCTGGCTCATTTAAATGCTTTAAGTTCAGTTTCTTTGTCCACAGAAGAGGAATCAGAGTACGAGCTGAATTAAAAAGCTTTTAGATCACTATTTGACATTCACTCACTCAAATGTTGGGATGTCTGCTATGTGAAAACACGGTGTTAAGTATTCGAAGACGAA